GCCACGCCCCCGCCCCGCGCGCCGCAGCCCTAGGGGGCGGGGCCCGGCGCCGAGATGCCCGGAGCTGCGCTGCGGAGCCGCGCGGCGCGGGGTGGGGGTAGGCCGGAGCCTTCCTCCCAGCCCCCAGCTGGGGAACGGAGAGGGGGCGGTGACAGGTGTCTCCGGGGCGGACTGCCTGGCCGAGGCGGCAGCGAGGAGAAGCCCGCCCGGATGCCCGGAATCCCGCCGGGTCAGACCCCCGCTGCGCTCACTCCTGCGCAGCCCAAGCCAGCCCGTGTAGCCCTGGGGGACCTCCTGGCGTGGGAGCTGCCGAGTAGGTTCTTGGTGTCCCTGATGGGGGCCTCCCTCCCATTTGGGCTCTTCTCGCCGCCTCCTCCTCCACCCCGCCGGACCCCTGCCACAGAGAAAATCGGGCTTCCCAGAACGATTGCACCACTGCAGCTGCCGCCGGCCTGGCACTGCCCCCAAGCCTGGCAGTCCTGGCAGCTTTGAGGGAAGAACACTGAGCCGGGGCCCACAGACCCAGAGATACCTGTACTGGCGAGTGGAGATGGTGTTCTAAGGACTGCCCCTTCCACCCCAGCTCCTCTCTGACTAGAGGAAGGAGGGAGGGGCTGAACTGATAGGCCCAACGTTGTCACACTTGTCCAAGCCCGGATCTTGAGAATTCTGCTTCTGTCCTCTTCACTCATTGAGCCCAGTCTGGACTCACTTTCCTCTTGCCTGAATGAAGAAAAGAGGCGGAAGGAAGAGTTAACAGGTGCAAGGTCTCCAGCTTGACCCCCAGCACCTGTTGCTGTTCCTGAGGGTTGAGAGGACCCCCTGCAGCAGGGCTCCGCCCCCCTCCACCAAGCCCCCTAAGCTCACCTATGGCTTATGGCTCAGCAGCTGGGGGTAGGGGATTGGAGGAGGAAACAGAACTGACTCCAGGCTGCCCTGCCTGAGTGGGGTCTGCCACACAGTGGGGTGAGGGGGACCCTGCAGCTCCTCTCATTCCCAAACGCTGGGTCTTCTGGCCTCTTGAACTAAGGCCCTGGCAAGTGAGACGGACTTGCATCATAGAGACCCCAAGCACCCTGGCCCTGGGAAAGGGGTCCACATCAGCGGGGACTCCTTCAACAGGGAGGGTCAAAAGGGGGCCTGGATTTGGGGTAGAGTCCTGTCACCAGGCAGGCAGCCTTGCTGCTGGTTGGGGGAGGAGCAGGGTGAGGCAGCAAATGCCAGAGATGGGCAGGTGACTTGAGAGGATGCTCTGGGATGGCGTTTTGATGACGTGGAAATGACTCTCAAACCACATCAGTCTCTTCTTTCAGAACCTTGCTGACCCCCTCCTCACCTCCATTAGTTTCCAGCCAGAGGCTATGCCAGGCCGGCCAGGCCAGAGGCCTGGAGCCTGGGGGAGGCGGGGGGAGGGGGAGGGGGAGGGGGGGAAACAAGAGGAGAATGGTGCTTCCCCATCCCCCAGAGTGAAGGTATGGACTGGCCCAGGGCCCAGAATGGAATGGATGCGTTTGTTTGTCTGCAGGGGCAGGAGTGGGAATGGCTGAAGGATGCTGTTTGCCCTGGCAAGCTCAGAGCTGGGCATGCTGCTCTGCTTCCCTGCCCCCATCCCCTTCCCTTCACTTAACACCATTAACTAATCATTCTCCTCTCTCTGGCCTGAAAACAAAGCCAGCTAACCACCAAGGACGGTCAGTTCTTAATTCTTCTTCCGTCCTGAGCCGAGTGAATCTAGGTGGGGGTGGAGAAGCTGCCTCTGCAGTGAAGGGGAAATGAGGTTAGAGCCCAGGGTGACATCCGTGCCCTGCACGTCCCCACCAAGGAAGCACAAAGACTGTCCTTTAAGTAAGCCAGTAGCTTGGGGCGATCTGGGCTGCCAGAGGTCAGGGGGCAGACAACTCCAGGACAGCTTCACCAGCGGGGCACACTAGGATTCCAAACCAGAGAGAGGTCAGGACTTTGGAGAGGACTCAGAGGGGACTGGAGACAGAAGAAAGGGGAGTGACGGCAGCACAGGGTGAAGGAGCAGAAGGTGGAGGGGATCAACCCTCCAACTCCTCCAAGATGCCAGAAGGCAGAGCTTCAGCAATCGCAGGAAAGAGAGAAGGCGGCAGGGGAAGAACTTCCAGTGAGAGAGGATGGAGGTCCAGCAGAAGGGGAGATCAAGGAGGCTGCGGCAGGCCTTCCGTGTTGGCAGATACTCTTGCGCCTGGACTGGGGTGGAGGCAGCCTCGCCCAGATGCAGGCCGAGATCAGAAGAGCCCCAGGCCAGAGTCCTAATGCCCTGCCTCATTTCTCTCCCGAAGGAAAGGGTAGGAAGGCTGCCTTCCTCCACCCCCATGGTAGACCCAGGCTACTCAGACACGAGGGGATTCGCGGTGCGGAATGCCCTCGGCGTGTCTCATGGGCATAGGTCTGACCACAGGTAGAGAAACTGAGGCTGGGTGGGGTGGTGGCCGCGGTCTGGGTCGCTCAGCTCCCATCTCCAGGGTGAGCAGGGGCTTTCATTTCATTGTGCCCCCCACCCCGGTGGAGTTGGAGGTCAAAAGACAAGGCTGGGCCTGCCCCTGGGGGCTTGCTGGGGTGAGATTAAACCCAGGAGCCCTCTCTCTCTCTCTCATAGTGGGTACAGTGGTCTCCCACTCACCCCTCTGGTGGAGGGGCCTTAACCAGGAGGATATGAGGAGGGCGGGTTGGGCGGAGGAAGGAAGGTTAGAAAGGCAAAGCTTACAGCTGCAGTGAGAAGGAGCTGCGGGTGGAGGGGCGGGTCAGCAATGTCAGCCATGACCAAGGCTGGGCATCCTCCCCGGCCTGGCTGGAAAGCAGGCTTCGGTCTGAGTCTTTGGAGGGGAGGAAGAATTTTTCCAGAGTGGGGATCTGAGCTGGGGGAAGACTGTGCTGAGGGAGTGAAAAACTGGGTAGGAGGAGGGTTGGGGGGCAGCTGCTGCCGAGGACATCAGCGGGCCAGGAAACCGGATACTGTGGGGCTGGGTGGGAGATGCTGGGGAAGAGGTTGAATGGGGGGAAGCAGCCCCTATCCTGGCCGGACGCAGTCTCACCCATGTCCTTCGCACCTGACCCGGGGGCAGGAAGAAGGGGGTGCGGCCTGGATGGAGGTGTGCCCCAGAAACACCGTGGAAGAGGAGGAGGGGGACTTGGGGGGGATGGGAGGGGCTATTTTTAAACTTGGAAAAACCGTGAGTGCGTTCATCTCCACCCTGAGTGCTGGAGGAGGCAAAGGACCCATTGTACAGGGGTGCAGAGAAGGGGAGGGGGAAGGGAGGTGGTGGCACAATGGCGGGGATTATGCTGGAGCAGGCCGGGGAGAGGAGGGCGGGGGAGGGGCGTCTCCGTCACAGCTGGCCTACTGAACTCTGGGGTCGAGCCAGGCTGGGGCTTGGACAGGGGTTTTCCCACTCTCACAAAGCCCCCCTCTTGGGGAGGTGGGGTCTGTCTCTGGCATCCGGTGTCGCCTCCTGGGGAGGGGTCTGCGGGTGGGATTCCCACAGCCTGGCTTTCCCAGGGACTGACTGCGGGGTCTGTTCCCAGGCTCCCAGCATTCCAGCGACTCCCCTGGGAGCTGCTGGCCTTCCCTCTCAGGCCCTTCTCTGCCAGGGAGTGCGGGAGAGAAAGAGAAAGAGGATGTGGGTGCATGAGGACTCTTCCTGGGGACTAGGGACCCATAAACCAGAGAGAGGATAGCAGTGGGTGGCGTATACCGAGGGGGATCACATCCTTCCCATCGTAGCCCCCGCCCTGTTGAGCCATCCTTCAGACCGAGATTGTCCCTCTAGTCCTCTCAGACCCCAGGGGCCTCTCCACGTGGGCAGCCCTCCAGCACCCAGGGCCTCAGCCCAGGGGATCCCAGGAGCCCCTGCTCCCCAGGTCTTGACCGGCGGAGGCCGCGGGGAGGCGGGGCATCCGGCCGCTCTCGCACCAATCCAAACATTACCATAAATGCTCAGGCCGTGGCGGGCCGGGGAGGGGCTCGGGCAGGGGACCCTGGGGCTCTCCGGAAGCCTCGAATCCGGTCTCCAGGCCTTTCTCAGCGAGGGCTGGTAGTGGTGATTCAGCCTCCGCTTTGGGAAGTGAGGGGGGCAGGGGCAGAGTTGCGAGTAGGGGTGGGCTGCGGTGTTGGGGAGCGAGCCAGGCTGCGTGGGGAGTCCCTGCGGACGGCCTCCCGGGGGTGCAGTGACCTCTGATCGAGGAGAGAGAGTAGGACTGCGCAGCCAGGATTTCGGCATCAGGGCAGGGGTGCGGGCTTCTGGGTCGCCCTCTAGCCCCGCTGGATCCACTCCTGTCAGCTCTAAGAATGGAGCCTCTCGCTCCCAGTGCTGGGTCTCCTAAACATCTTCCCACTTCCTCCTGCCATTCTAAATTTGGAGAATGGAGCAAGTTGGGGGCAGGGGGAAGGCACAGGGCAGGATGCTGGGAGCCTACACCTCTCCCCCTCAGGGAAGTTCACATCCGCTCCCCAAAATACCACCACCCAGGAGGAGCAATGTCCCCA